TTCTATTCTATTCTATTCTATTCTATTCTATTCTATTCTATTCTATTCTATTCTTATTCCATTCCATTCTATTCTACCCTACTCTATTCATATTCCATTCCATTCTATTCTATTCTATCCTACTCTACTCTACTCTATTCTTATTCCATTCCATTCCATTCTATCCTATCGTATCCTATTCTATTCTATCCTACTCTATCCTACTCTATTCTTATTCCATTCCATTCCATTCTATTCTACTCTATTCGTATTCCATTCCATTCCATTCTTTCTATCCTACTCTACTCTATTCTTATTCCATTCCATTCCATCCTACTCTATTCTATCCTACTCTATTCTATTCTTATTCTTATTTCTATTCCATTCCATTCCATTCCATTCTATCCTATTCTATTCTATTCTATCCTACTCTACTCTATTCTTATTCCATTCCATTCCATTCTACCCTACCCTACTTTACTCTACTCTACTCTACTCTATTCTATCCTTTTATTTACTGGAGCATTCATTGTTTCTGCATATAAAAGAACCAACTGGGCACCTGAACACTGGCTTTTTATCCTAATCTTGCTGTATTAAAGAAGAAAAATCAAGGCACGGCTGTTCTGTGTCTCCCCGCACCCCACACTTCCTCCTTTTCCAGGGCTGAATAATAATTTTCCTTCTCCCATCTTTGTCTCAAGACCAGGCCTGAATTCTTTTGCAAAAGGAACCCCGTCGCAAACTGCCCTTCTCACCTTCAGCATGCCTTGCCATGAATTGTCAAGTGTCTTTCTACTAATCTGCATCTTCAAAATGGCAACCCCCGAACTGGTCTCTTGCAGTGAGCAACGAGCGATTTTCCCCCGGTTCAGTTCTTTTATTGCTCTTTTGTGTCGTTCTGCTCAATTCACTCCTCTTCCCTAATTCCAATTTAACTAGGAGAATTTATAAAATTAATTCCAGTATTGGGTGTTCTGTATGGTCTTTTTTTGCCGCTTAGTTACTCCTATTCAGTAGCAACTTCCAGGGATTCCGTATCTCCATTACTGATGATTGCATACACGTTGATAAAATAATACAGGATACTAGGGGGAGAGAGGAGAAGCGAAGTCTCTGTGTTTGTGTAGACAATTGCAACAAGGTTTTTTTGTGTGTGCTGCGAATGTCGCTGCACAATGGGAAAGGAGCGCATCAAAAGAACTGATGATCCAACTGATATATCTGAAGGATGTAGACCAGGAGTGTCAAATTCGATTTCACTGAAGGCTGCATGAGGGTTGTGTTTGACCTCAGAGGGTCAGGGTGGGTGTGACCAGGATGGGCGTGGCCAGCTCACTTGTATCGGGGCGCCTGTGGCGGCCCAAGCACTCTGCCAGTGAAAACAGGCTCCCGGGCTCCGTTTTCGGCTCCAACAGACTCCTATAACCCTCTGCCAGGGAAAACAGTGCTCGGGATGGCTGCTCATGGCCCTTGCAAGCTCTGTTTTTGCTGGCAGAGGCACGGTGGGCTGTCCTTCACTGTTTCCAGGGTGGCCCTCAGATCCGACCTCCAGGCCTTGAGTTGACACCCCTGATGTAGACAGTAGAATAACAGGTAGTTCTTGACTTTCGACTTAGTTACCACTCAAAGTTCTGACAGACCTCCCTGGGGAGGCACTTCCAATGCAGTTCTAAAGTTCCAATGTGCTCCTCCCTCCCCGAATCACATGGTTGCATTTCTGGTGCTCAAAAACCAACCTGTATTTACAGCCGTTTGTAGTGTCACATCCTTGCTGAAAATTGGCATTTGCATTTACTTCCAATTTTCAGCAAGACTGACTCATAGTAAATAATTGGTTCCCTTAAAAACTGTTGTGTTCCCTTAAAAACCACCAGAAAAAAGATCATAAATTTCAGGCTGGTCTCAATGATGTTCCTTTTTACCACTGTTACGACCGAAATGACAGGCTCCATTATGGTCGTAAGTGGAGGTTTACCTGTAGGCTTATGTCAAGGCAGCCCAAAGTCCTATTAATTTTGACTGCAGTTATATTTTGCTGCAATAAAATAATCAAAATGCACCTGAGCACACCTTTGCCGGTGTTTGGAGATTCACAAAATTTGCTGTACAGAGAGACATGGCAGGTGTCTCCTCTTTTTTACTTGAAAGGAAAAAATAATCAAAAGAAAAGCATATTTCATGCGGTGCTAATTCAGAGCAGAAAATTGGATCAGCCCCTCCTCAATCAAGCTAGTTAGAATGTACATTCTTCCCAAGGGAGTGCTTCAAACATTTTAGCAACCGGTTCTCTATCTGGATGCTGGGTGGGCGTGGCCAAGGCCTAGTCAACCTCCTGTACTGGTGGTGGTAGTGGGGATTTTTGCCCTCCCGGAGCTCCGGAGACTTTCCTTGAGTCTGTGGGAGGGTAAAAACGGCCTCCCCAAGCTCCGGAGGCCCTCTGGAGGCCGGAAACGGGCCCATTTCTGGCCTTCCCAAACTTCCAGGAGGCCTGTTTTTGCCCTCCTCGAGCCTCCACACAGGCCCTGCGCTTACCTGGGATCCAAAACGAGCCACGTGGGGACTCCTGGGAGGGGCGAGGCCAGTCAGTCATGGGAACTACTGGTTCGGCAAACCAGTTATAAAATCAACATCCGGTTCGTTTGAACAGGTGCGAACCATTAATAGCCCACCCCACTGATTCTTCCACATACCTAACAGTGTGGTCGGAGAGCCATCCGGCATCACAGTTGTCATAGCCATCCTCAAAGGCCACCTCCAGATGAGCAGGAGATGCAACGACAGCCGAGTTCTCTTCACAGGCCTTCTGCGCCTCTGGGAAAGTCAAAGCGTAGCGGTTGCTAGCCGCGCGGTAGTGGAAAACCACACCTAGGCAGGGTTGAAAAGTGAGAGGACAAGGGGAGGTGAATTAGAATAGACTAGAGCCAGAAGGGACCTTTCAGACTCTGCCTCAACATCAAGAAAACGGAGTACTTAGAGACTTTTACCACCCCTGGAATACTTCAAATCAATGCAGAAAACCTAAAGAAAGTGGACACTTTTCAGTATCTGGGATCCCACCCAGTGGTGGGATTCAAATGTTTTTACCACCAGTTCTGTGGGCGTGGCTTGGTAGGATTAGCAGGGGAAGGATACTGTAAAATCTCCAGTCAGGGGGTATTTGCCGGTTCTCCGACCTACTCAAAATTTCCGCTACCGGTTCTCCGGAACTGGTCAGAACCTGCTGAATATCCACCTCTGACTGAATCCCACCTCCAAGGCAATGGCGACATCAAGGGTGATGTGCGAGCAAGGGTGAATGCAGCCAGGGTGCATTGGCGAGAACTCACCCCTGTGTTATGTGATAGACGAATACCCACCTGTCTTAAATTTAAGATTTACGAGACAACCATCCGCCCTATTGCACTGTATGGCACTGAACGCTGGGCAGCAACAACAGGGACTGAAAGTTATTTCCATGCCACGGAAATGCGAATGTTCCGTTGGATATCGGGCATCTCCCTTCTTGACCACCTCACAAATGACACCATGCGACAACATTTTGGTGTGGCACCCAATTATACAGAAGATGAGAGAAGGTCGACTTTGCTGGGATGGACCTGTCCAGAGAGCAGTACCTTCCGTTGTGGCCAAGACTGCCTACCAACTAGAAGTCATGGATGGAAGGGTCCTTGGAAGGTCTTCTAGTCCAGCCCCCTGCACAAGCAGGAGAACCTATACCATTTCAGACAAATGGCTGTTCATTCTCTTCTTAAAAACCTCCAGTGATGGAGCACCTGCAACTTCTGGAGGCAAGCAGTTCCACTGGTTAATTATCCTCACTGCTAGAAAGCTTCTTCTTAATTCCAGGTTGCTTCTTTCGTTGATTAGTTTCCAACCACTGTTTATTTTTCCTGCCTTCTGGTTCTTTGGAGAATAATTTGACCCCCTCTTCTTTGTGGATAGAACCATATAGAAGGCTGTTAACCGGTAGGACCGGCTTGGTAGGATGCTTAAAGCACCAGACAAGAAACTGGGAGACGGGGACAGTGGTGGGAAATTTTTTTACTACCGGTTCTGCAGGCGTGGCTTAGTGGGCATGGCAGGGGAAGGATACTGTAAAGCAGGGGTCTCAAACTCGCGGCCTGCGGGCCAATTGAGGCCCGCAGGACGATATCCTGTGGCCCCCACCGTGATATGAAAGTATAATATTAGTGCGGCCCGCAGGGGGAATGGACCTCTGAAGGAAGTCCCACCCGCCGTTCCTCGTCGTGGCTTCTTCTCCAGCCTGAACTTTAACAAGTCCAAGTACAGGTCCAGACTTACTGAGGATCATCTTCAAGCCATACTGAGGGTCTCAAGTGCCTCCTCTCTCAAGCCAAATGTGGCTCAGATATGTGAGAGGAAGCATTGTCAAGTCTCTGGCAGCAAGGAGTAAGCTGGAGAAGCCATGTTCTGAGGAACTGTTCATGATCTTCATTCAATGTTCCATTCATTCATGTGTTCAGGACAGTTCATGTATTGGAGAAATCATTAACTGTTGATGACATTTGAGGATATTTTTTTAACAACGTTTTTTGTGGAATTTCTTATGCGGCCCAGCCTCACCCAGCCTCTACCTCCAGCGGCCCCCAGGTAAATTGAGTTTGAGACCCCTGCTGTAAAGTCTCCATTGCCTCCCCACACCCGGGGGAAGGTCACTGCAAAATCCCCATTCCTTCCCCATCCCACTAACCTGCTTTCCAGCACCGTTCTCCTGTGCAGGGCAACCAAAGAAGACCCAGCCGATCAGCTGGGACTGAATGGGAGGTGGAGAAGAGATGGGGGCGGGGCCAGTCAGAGGTGGGATTTGCCAGTTCTCCAAACTACTCAAAATTTCCGCTTCCGGTCAGAACCTGCTGGATACCACCTCTGGACTGAGCGTTCTAGCCTAGATTTGGAAACAACACCTGCTTGGTGAATTTGGGCTCATGAGTCTCAGCTCAGCTTGCCAAGAAAAATGCAGAGACTTTCCAGGCAGTTGCCAAGAGTAAAAAAAAAAAAGACTTTATAGCGGAAAAAACACCCCCAAACATATAGAGTAGCACTTAATCAATCTTGGCTGACAAAAGCAAATAGAAGGTGTCTAACTGTTCTTGGCTGATCTTTAAAGCTAAGCAGAGTCAACTGTGGTTAGTTCTTGGATGGGAGAGCGTCTGGCTGAATGGGAAATTAAATGCTTGGAAAAAAAGGCTAGGTCAAACCACTTCTGTGCTGCAATGTTGCTAAGATATTTGCAAAGGAGGCAATTGAGGGCATCTTCCTCTCCTTTTAATAAAAATATTGTGAAACACAACCTTTGATGACGGCTATCTGAATTCTTTCCGAAGGAGCTCTTGCACACTGATTGAGCGCAACACAACCTTCTCCTTTGTTCCTTTTTTTTTTTTTTGGTCTCTTACTTAGAAAGCTCTGTGACAGAGGTTGTCAAATTACTGAATTTCATAAACCACCATGAAGTCCTTTAATCAGCATACAAGTGAGGCTCAAAGTCTACATGCAATCACAACCAGATTGGGGGGTCTTTTTGTAGTCTTTCATTAGCGCACACCCACACACCCCTTTGATATAAAGACAGGGGAGGAATACAATTAAACCAATAGGAACCAAAGCTAAGGCTGAATTGTTCCTCACGATGCCCTGTATCAAATTAAGGTTCGTGGGGAGAAGAAGACAGTAAATGACTAAACTACCTGGGCCTGCCAACTCCATAAATGTGTGCGGAAGGAACCGGAATTAAATCAGGAAGGGTCTGGTAGCATCTTTCAAGAGCCAGAAACACTTCTCAAAGACAAAAGGCGCTTCGGATGAAATGAGCTGTGGCACTCGAAAGCGTCTGACTTTTGAAAAAAAAAACGTTTAGTTCAGGGGTGTCAAACTCGATTTCATGGAGGGCTGCATCAGGGTTGTGTTTGACCTTAGGGGGGGCTGGGGGGGAGCGTGGCCGGCTCGATGTCACTTGCGTTGGAGGCTCCTGTGGTGTCCCGAGTGCTTTGCCAATGAAAACAGGCTCCCGAGCTCCGTTTTTGGCTGTGACGGCCTCCTGAAATCCTTTTCCAGTGAAAATGCAGCTCAGGAGGGCTGATTGCGGAGCTCGGGAGGGCTACCCGCGGCCTTCTTGAGCGCCGTTTTCGCTGGCAGAGGCACTGAGGGCCAGTCCTTTGCAGTTTCCAGGGACGCACCATGGGCCAGATCTAAGCACCCTGCGGGCAGTGGTAGGATTCGAAATTTTTTACTACCAGTTCTATGGGCATGGCTTGGTGGGCGTGGCTTGGCTTGGCAGGTGTGCTTGGCGGGCGTGGCAGGGAAAGGATACTGCAAAATCTCCATTCCCTCCCCACCCCTCTAACCTGCTTTTCAGCTCCGTTCTCCTGTGCAGGGCAACCAAAGAAGACCCAGTCAACCAGCTGGGACTCGGGAGGCAGAAAATAGATGGGGTTGGCGGGGCCAGTCAGAGGTGGGATTGGCCGGTTCTCCAAGCTACTCAAAATCTCTGCTACCAGTTCTCCAGTACTGGTCAGAACCTGCTGAATGCCCATCTCTGCCTGCAGGCCGAATCTGGCCCCCGGTGCCTTGAGTTTGACACCCCTGACTTAGTTGAAAAAGTGCTCCCCAGATTCTTTCATACAACCAGTCCTTGACTTACAACCATTCGTTTAGCAATCGTTCAAAGTTTCAACGGCATTGAAAAAAGCGACCTACAATCGTTTTTCACATGATTGTTGCACCATCCCCATAATCGCATGATTAAAACTCAGGTGCTCATATTTATGATGGTTGTGGTGTCCCTGGATCACACGATCCCCTTTTGCGACCTTCTGACAAGCCAATTCGATGGGGAAAGCCAGATTCACTTAACAATCGGGTGACTAATTTAACAACTGCAGTGATTCACTTAACAACTGTGGCAAGAAAGGTCATAAAATGGAGCAAAACTCACTTGACAAATGTCTCGCTTAGCAACATCATTTTCGGGCTTGGTTGTGGTCGTAAATCGAGGACTATCTGAATACGGCATTAATGCAATGCTTCCCAATTTTTTTCCCTTTATTATCCAAAATCGCTTATCAGAAAGTTTTAAACTTGAAGGACCGACTGCAAGGCCTTTCCTTCAACACTGCTGTAGCTTTGATTGGTTGCTGAATGAATGGTCGTAAGTAACTTGAGAACTACTTGTATTATAAAAATATTATCACTGAATGATCTGTTATGTCATTTCAACAAATTATCATTGGTAATTTCATTGATTTGCATCTTCGTGGGAATCCTTTGGGGGATTTTTGAATGTATTTTAGTACAGGTGGCAAAATTAAATCAGTTTAAATCAATTAAAAACATCTGTTTTGTTTGGGTAATGGGTTCCGGTGTCATTATCCAAAGAAAAAAACCATTTTCCCCAATTTTCAGTAATTTACTCAGGCATGGGAAGCAATGCATAATAGCACCTTGTCACACAATCTTTGGTGATTATTTTATAGTTTTGATCAGAAGCATTTTTGCCTCCCTTCCACCAGTCACCAAATATTTCTCATCTCTTTCTGCGACATAAAGCAGAGCCCTGAAACTGTCTTCCTGCCACCCCCTTACTCTCGCCTCACAATCAGGAGGCTGTGAGTTCGATCCTAGGTAGAGGCAGATATTTCTCTCGCTGGGCACACTGAGAATATATCTGCTGAACAAAACTCCACATTGGCAACAGGGAAGGGCATCCGGCCATTAAAACACTCTGCTCACTCCATTCAGTTGCCAAGACTCCATCCCGCAAGGGATTATGGGGTTGTTAAATGACAATGAGTATGATATAATGTAATGTTATAGGGTCATTAAGATAGATAGATAGATAGATAGATAGATAGATAGATAGATAGATAGATAGGCAGGCAGAGAGAGAGACAG